TACAAAGGGTCACTGAGCCCACCCCATGGGTTAATACACTAGTAATATGTGAAAAAGCAAAGACACGAAAGCTCCGTATATGCCTAGACCCACGACCCCTGAACAAAACAATAATGAGACCGCACTACCCTCTTCCCACACTTGATGATGTAACTCACAAACCGGCAGGAGCCAAGTTCTTCAGCATCCTAGATGCACTATCTGGCTACTGGGCCATCAAGCTCAGTGATGAGTCAGCCCGGCTCACGACTTTCAATACCGTCTTTGGCAGATACTGCTTTCTCAGGCTCCCCTTTGGCATCGTGTCAGCTCAGGATGAGTTCCAACGGAGGATCGACGAGACATATGAGGGCCTGGAGGGAGTGACCAGCATCGTGGATGGCATCATTGTATTCGGGAGATCAAAAGAGGAACATGACCGGAACCTCAGGGCAATGCTCAACCGCACCAGAGAGAGAGGACTGAAGCTGAACCCAGAAAAGTGCTGCATATGTGTCACTGAAGTAAGTTTTTTCGGACGCAAGCTCACAGCCGATGGGCTGAAACCAGACCCCTTCAAGGTGAAGGTTATCCACGACATGAAACCACCGGAAAACGAAGCAGAGTTGGAAACCATCCTTGGTATGGTGAATTACCTTGCTAAATTTGCCCCTAATTTGGCAGAGATAAGTGTACCACTCAGACACCTGCTAAGAAAAGAGACACAGTTCACCTGAGAGGAGGCACACGAACATGCATTCCAACAGATAAGAGACTATCACGGCTGAGCCTGGACCAGTGCTTGCATACTTCGACCCCCACAAAGAGGTAACGGTGCAAGTGGATGCGTCAAAAAATGGCCTGGGTGCAACAATTATGCAGGAAGGTAGGCCAGGTGCATATGCCTCAAAGCTGCTTAACAGTACAGAACAAAACTATGCCCAAATAGAGAAGGAACTTTATGCTGTCCTCTTCGGCTGCAGAAGATTTCATGTGTATATATATATATATATATGGAGGACACATCACCGTGGAGTCAGACCACAAGCCACTTGAAAGCATACTACGCAAGCCATTAGCCCTCGCACTGCCACACCTACAGTGCATGCTGCTTGCACTACAGAAGCACAGCATAAACCTCATCCACAAACCTGGAAAGGAGATCCCGGTGGCCGACACACTGTCAAGGAAATCCATGGATGACAGTGACATCTCACTAACAGAGACCATGGAGGAACCACCGCGACAAACTCACTGAGGCTGACGGACTTCTCCTGAAAGGCGAGAGAATAATAATTCCGCATAGGCTCAGAGGAGACATGCTACAGCGGATACACACCGGACATCTTGGAGTTGAAAAAAGCAAACACAGAGCAAGAAACATTATGTTTTGGCCTGGCATGAATAAACAGAAGAAATGGTAACAAACTGTGACATATGCCAGACGCACCGCAGCTCCAACCAAAAAGAGCCCATGCTGCCACGGGAAATCCCAGAGAACCCATGGCAGATTGTTGGCACAGATTTATTCTCCTGGAACTCAGAGAACTACATCATCTGCAACTATCTCAGCAGATATTTTGAGATAGCACGCATACAAAACATCACTACAGCTGCTGTCATCCACAACATGAAAGCCGCATTTGCCAGGCACGGCATTCTGAAGAAAGTTGTAAGTGATAATGGGACATGCTACAGTTCACACGAATTCCCTCAGTTTGCAGAACAGTGGGGTTTTCAACACACCACCTCAAGCCCCCACTACCCCCAAAGCAATGGCCTAGGCGAAAAGACTGTCCAAACTGCAAAACGGATCCTGACCAAGGCCAGAGAAGACCCATATTTGAGTTTACTGGAATACACGAACACTCCAGTTGATGGACTGAAGTCACTAGTGCAAATCTTTGAGCTGTAGGCTACGCTCCATTCTGCCCACTACAACATCCCAGCTACGACCTCAGGTGGCTCCACAAGACAGTGCGTGCAAGGAGGGAGGAGTGTCAGCATCGTCAGAAACACCACTACGACAAATCTGCTTGACCTCTACCCACGCCACACCATAGGATCATCCATTCAGTTCCAACAAGAGGATGGTAGATGGCAACCAGCTACAATCATCCAGCCAGCAGAGACCTCGCGCAGCTACCACATCAAAACCAATAACGGCCAGACCTTGAGGCGCAACCGGCGACACCTTCGCAGTGCACTTGACAACCCGCCAGAAGTTGACACCCAACAATTCGATATCAGTAAGGACATTGAGGACCTTGGAAATGCAAATACAGGGACACAACAACCTCGTCACATATCAGTGAGCAAACCCTGTCATGCTGAACCAAATTACCACACCAGGAATGGCCATACCATTAAGCCCAGGCAGGTCCATCTGTGACCGCTTGGAACCTGATACTCTTAAGGACACAGACGCATATGAACATGTACCTCAATCATATTATTATACATTCATAACCACCCTTGATCCTGAGGGCGTGTTTAAGTGTTTCATCCTGTACTCGGATCTGTAGGTTATTGTGATTTTGTTTAGAGTTGAGACATAGGTTACATGGGGGTGGCTGTGGCTCATGAGGTAGGGCAGTCGTCTCCTGACCAGCAAGTTGGTGGTTCGACTCCCGGTCTCCCCGCATGCCTAAGTGCGTGAGCAAGACACTGAACCCCGAATTGCTCCCGGTGGCTTGACTAGCGCCGGTGCATGGCAGCCTGTTGTCATCGGTGTGTGAATGTTGTGTGTGAATGGTGTATGATCTGCCTGTGCAACACACTGTGAGAAAGCGCTATATAAAATACCGTCCATTTACTTGTTCCTTACTGATGTTTTTTTATTATTGAAGGGAGATGTAATGTTCATGCACAGTAATGCATTGGGACCTTTATTTTGAAACTCCTACATGAGGAACCAGAACTAACATGTGTATGTTTGGATGTTAAAAGAAATCAATAAGAACAGAGAGGCTATGGCAAGTGTAATAGCAATAAAGACAAAAGTTCATTGGCATCTACAATACTGAGTGGATTTAGTCATTCCCTGGCGATAGAGCACAACATAGTGTCTGGCGACTCTCCCCCAGTAGAATTAGGTTTCCTGGGGCAGTATGTGGACCAGTCTCTGCCGCAGGGTGTTCCCTGGCTTAAAGTTAACTGGGATATTGTGGTTGTGAAACATCCTTTTTAACTTCTCTGATAAACCAGTCACATAAGGGATGACAGTGTTATCCCCTCTTGTTTCTGGTTTTTCCCTATTGGTGTTGGGCCTCTTCCTGGCTTTGGTGAAAGCCCACTGAAACTGAGAAAAAAGATCAGTTTACAAATTTAGGTTTGATGTGAACACACTCGACGTCACAGCAGAAAACAGGTGTGTACTTTGTGATCAGCTGATAAACACAATGTGCTGATTTATATGTAAATGTACATATACTCTGATCTGGCCACAACACATCAATCTGAATAGGATGAACTCTCACCTGCCACTGTGTCGAGTGAAAACAAGACTGATGCTTGGGTCGCCAGCCTTTTTTTTCCCTCAGAGCTACTTTGACAAAATGAAAGTGGCTGGGAGCTGCTGTTTTATATTACTAGTTGCATTTATTCACAAAACACTCAAAGTGAGCTCCAAACCGAACCAGCTGAATGAACTAATTGTTTTGTGTAACCATGCTGCGACTGTGGAACAGGTTAATCGCTATGCCTGACAACAGAAGTACTGTTTTATTGGGATTGTTAAACAATTCTCCCTGGGCCAGAGAACTTGTCCTTTTATTCTTTGGACTAGGGTCAAAGTATATTTTTACAAGTTGCACTGTAATGTTAGTTATTATGAATCTTTATTTAAAATGTATCTTTAAAAATTTGAAGAAATATAAAGCAAATGAAAACTGAGCTTCCAGAGCAGAGCCCAGAGGTCCATCAGTGAGGAGCTGGTATTTTGCCTTTGGCTCTGGAAATTGGACATTTTCACTCAGTCCCAGACGACAGAAACTGTCTCCTGTGTGAGTGGATTGAGGATGAGAATGAAATGCGTTTTATATTTTATTGTCCTTTGTATTTTGACCTTTGAGTGAAATTTTCATAAAGCACATGAAGGGCATCAGTGTGTTAGATATGACAAACAAGTGTAGATTAAAGTATATGTTCACATAAGACACAGCTTAGTTTCTGTTAAATGCTTATCAGTGAACTGGAGGGTTATATGTGTGAATTGTTAAGTTTATACCTGATGTACTGTATGTTGTATTATATTTTCAGATTTCTTGTTCTGTGCCTTGGCATGATGGCCATGTAAATAGTGTATTGTAAGGCCACGTGTACCGGGCACCTGTTAGGTGTATGATACAGAGATCTATTCATTTGTTGGTCACCTTGTTTGAACTCCATAATGTTTGATATCTGTAGTGACAACATCATGTAAAATTTTAGTTATGGTACATTTAATTTTGGTCTGGTTCATAAATAATAATGACTTATCCTGCTTCTAATGTCGACCTGACGTTCAAATGAAGCAGTCTTAAAGAGTTTTGTAGTGTGAACTTTTCTTTCCACAGATGATGTTTCTCTACAATGACGATAACGGCTGTTATGAATTATGACGCGAGGACGCGGTTTGAAACCATGAGCATGCGGTAAGTTTATTCCATGGTTTTATTATTTAAACCTGGATCTCAGATTACAAAATGGTGCCCATTTGTCCCAATGAAGCCCCCACCCAGCACGTAGACTTTACGACGTCAGGCAAACAAAACTCAGTGTTCCGGGGTCTGGGGAAGTTTTACAAATATAAAACCTCCATGGATTAAAAATTCATAAACAAAGAGGGATAACTGACCTCATTTGTAGTTTTAGATGTCCTGTTGACAGTTTCACAGCCTTTATCGTTGTGGTCTATGGAGAGAATGCTTTTGGGCTACACAACGCCGTTTCGCCAGTGGCCCCTGGGGAAAGTGGCTCAACAGCTGAATCCAGGCTTCATCAATACCTTCATGATTTATTCACAACTAACATCAAACAGGTCAGATTCAAGAGAAACTTTATTGGTACAAAGCACTTTGATAGCCCACAGCATGGTTTTGGCACCTGGTATCAAACTGTATTCTGCGTATTGTTTAATGATAGTGGTGGGGGAGGGGCTTACAGCATGTCAGCGTTTAGAAACACAGAAAAGATGATTGGCTGAGGCAGATGATGTCAGGGAGAGGCTTTCTGTGATTGGAGGGACATTATAAAGGAAGCTAAGTGGCTAATCGAAGAAGCTAACATGCTAATCCAGGTTAGTAATCCATTAGCACGGTCTAGGATGTTCTCTGTTTTCTTCCAAGTCAACCGAGATGATAAATGTAAGTTTCTTCTTTTCAAGGACTCCTGGAACTATGGCTGGGCAATAAGAGAAAATGTTTTTTGATCATTTAACAGTCTATCAATGTGACTCCACATGATGTTTTGATCTCTTTTTATCCAGCTCTTCATGTTTCATGTTGTTCTGACTGATGTTTGTTTCCTCAGAGTGAGACTTCATCTCTCCAAAACCTTTAACTTGCCATCTGATAGGTTAGCAGTTATTTGATGTTTTTTTAAATGGATCTAGGCTATCAGTTCCCCTGTTTCTTTATCCTAAGCCAGGCTAATGGCTTCTGGGTGGATTCAACTTTAATCCAGAGGAGAACATAAACATCAGTTTAATCATTAAACTGATGTTTGTGTTCCCACCTGACTGCAGAGAAAACAGAGAACAGTTGGACACTCGGATGCACTCGCCTGGCTGATAAACTTAACTATAAGGCCTCAATTTGCTTCACTTCATAAAATCTCTCCAACCTGTCAGTGCAGTGTAGGTCAAGGTCATGAGGCGTAAGGCAGTATGATTTTTTCCAGTTTCCTTGGTAATAGGAGGGCGAGGGGTCTGCAGGCACAGGCTCATACAATCACAGGCCTTGTTTGGCAAGGGAGGCAGACACCTGACAGGAGCAGGAAGTTGATTATTAACATGTTTTTCTTTTCTTTGTATTTTTGGTCTGAACAGGTAATTTTCATACCTGATTGGCCAGAGTGTCCAGGGGCGGAGCTTCAGCAGCATTAAGGCTTCCAGGGGAGGAAGTGTTGCTAAGATGATGAAGGGAGGATTCAGACTGGGTGATGATGTCAGCAACATGGTCAGTTCGAGCTTTGGCGCTTTCTCTGAAGGTCAGTTTCTGACTCTCAATCTGTGAAACAGTCAAATGTCTATATTTAACAAACACTGGGTATTAACAAGAATCAGCATAATGACAGAAATGCAGATAGGTACTTATATAAGGTAGACCATATATTTTAGATTTTACAGTTACTAATACGAAGTTGCAAACATTTAATTGCATGAAACACAATATAGAAACAGTTACTTAAGACATATTTTGTGTAAAAACGTGATGAGTAAAATGTAGAGTATAAACATGGCGGTCGGTGACTGTCACAGGCACAGGGGGGGAAGTCAGGATGATTCCAAGGCCCCAGGAATAACAGTGGCCAAAATGTATGCACAACCATAGACGTCATTCCCATTCACTGAGGGCTATAGTAATGTAGTGGTTAAAAACAATCAAGGTACCAGTCCAGAGGTAATATGTAATAGAATATTATGTAGTTCATATATAGATATTATTTGTAATAGTTATGTAAGGGTGAGCTAAGTGTTTATGTAAGCTTGATTGGTTTCTCTTCTCTGCTCTTGCTCTAGCAAGAATATCTTGGCTTGTGTCTTCCCTGTTCAATTTACGGGTAAACATACAGAGTGAATTCCTCCTTAAATGGGAAATGGACATAGCTTCAGCCTTATGTGAACGGTTCGTGTGCTCTGTTCATGTTTAGAAAAAGGAAATAGGCGCTCAGGCCATAGAAGACTGTGTGACTGCAAGAAGATAAAGGGTTAGGACAGCTGTGGGTTAAGAGAAGAAGGAAGGGTGGTGCGGCAGTCGTGAGTGTGCTTTTGGACCCGGCCGGGTCTGGACTCTGACTGTACCCCTTGACCAACAATGACTGACTGACTGACTATGTGACAATCTTCTTATTTAATACTTTATCTATACCATTGCAGGAGGAGTGTTCTCTGTTCCCTAACTACCAGATCACTGCCTAACTACTACTCTGTTCAGATTAATTATAATATTAACTGATTATTTAAATTGGGATGATTTGTCAGAAGTAATTTAGTCTCTAGAGATGCTATTCCCCCGTCCTTATTTAAGGAGGCCTTTCCTTGTATAGGAACGCTGGTTCTGGCTATTATTAATAGCAGTGTGTCCTCTGGAGTTGTCCCTTGACATTGTAAACATGCAGTTGTGCAACCTTTGCTTAAGAAGCCAGGTCTTGATCATTCTATTTTGAATAATTTTAGGCCTATTTCCAAGCTGTCTTTTATTTCGAAAATTTTAGAGAAAGTGGTTTTTATACAGTTGAAATCCTTTTTAGATGAGCATAATGTATTGGAGATTTTTCAATCTGGTTTTAAAGCTCGGCATAGTACAGAGTCTGCATTGTTAAAGGTTTTTAACGACATCTACTTGACAACAGATGCTGGTGGCTACGTGATAATTGCCTTGTTGGATCTGACTGCTTGTTTCGACACGGTTGACCACGATATCCTATTATCTCGACTTGAGGAGTTAGTGGGCATCCGTGGTACTGCCTTGGAGTGGTTCAGGTCTTATCTGTCGGATAGGACGATGTCTGTTGGTATTGCTGATGTTGAGTCCTCGTTCACCCCGTTGGTATCTGGGGTTCCGCAGGGCTCTGTTTTGGGGCCCCTGCTCTTTTCTTTATATTTACTTCCTCTTGGCTCTATTTTCAGAAAGCATGGTGTTTCTTTTCATTGTTATGCGGACGACGTGCAGATGTACATGCCAATGAGGGGAAGGGACACATCCTCAGTTGTTTCTTTACTGTCATGTTATGATGACGTTAGGAACTGGATGGCTTTAAACCTACTGAAGTTAAATGACCGAGGGCTAGGAGGAGACTTAGGGGGGACAGAGCCTTCTCTGTGGGGGCTCCTAAGTTGTGGAATGCATTGCCCCTTTACATTAGGCAGGTCCCCTCGTTGTCCACTTTTAAAACTTATTTGAAGACTCATCTGTACCGTTTGGTGTTCGAACCAGTATGAGCCTCTGTCTTGTTGAGCTTTTTTGTTTTATGATGGGTGGTTGTTTTAGTGTGATCCTGTTTTATTGTTGTGTTTATTGCTTTTGTTTGTTTTATTGTGTTTTAACGGGTTTTAGTGATATTGTGTTAAGCACTTTGGTCAGCTTCGGCTGTGTTAAACGTGCTATATAAATAAAGTTGATGATGATGATGATGTATCAGATTCTACCAACTACAGTAATCACTGCATTCTATTTGTGTTTGTCATAAAAATCCTGTTATTAGACATGATTTTTATTATTTAATGTGTTTTAAACTTTCAGAACAGAGACGTGAGAAACTGAAGCTGAAGGATGTTTTCTATATTTCATGTGTAACTCTGTACTGTGATGTAATCAACTACAGACTGTTCCAGACGAAGAGAGACACAACCATCAACTGTAGGATAAGCATGTGTCTCAGTATGATTAGCGTCTAAGCCGTGTTATCAGGGTGCACCTTTTCAACTATATATTGTACTGTTTGAATCTATTTTACTCAGACAACTCTGTATGCTCATGCTGACTTGTCTCCTTGCTGCAAGTAAACTAATTATTTACAAAGATTCCAGTGACTTTGTTGCTTTATTAAAAATTCCTTTGAGAGTGTTTTAATTAGTTGTACTAATAAAATGTAGAAGCCAAAGGTAGGTTTCTGTGCATTTATAATCGGTGCTGGTTTTAATACCTAATGTCCATGGCTGTTTCTGTTCTCATCTTTAAGCAGCAGTCTCTTGCAGGATGACCTGCTCATTGCTCACTGTTACAGAGTCAAAATAAATCTGTTTTACCTGAATATATATATTTACTGCCTTAATATGTTGGCGTGTTGTTAGCATGTACCTTCTTCTTCCCTCCTCCTGGCACATGAGTGATGTTCTCCAAAGAACCAACTTTTGACTGAACAGCTTTAAAATCCACCTTCTCTGATTTAATTTCCACCTTCCCTCCACCTGACACACAACACAGAGGAACAGACTACAATATACAGTATTACAGTACAGCATAGTGCAGTGTATACAGCATACACAAACTACTTTCTGTAGTGGAGCTCTCACATTTTCAGCATGTCGTGTACAAACAAATCTGATCAAATTAATTCAAACCCACACAGTTGAATCAAGTTTGAATATAAAAAACCAAGTGACAACTTTAATGTGCACAAACCAAAAGGTTTTATTTATTTTATGAGATTTAATTGTAAGCGTACTATAAGCTCCTGTGACTGGAAAGGCTCAGCTCTGTGTGTGTGAATGTGTGTGGTACCTGGTTTGTGGTGGATGTTGTCTTTGGAACCACACTTTGACATCACATTAGTGATGTCTAACTTCTTGTTAACAATCTGAACCTGCAGACAGGTACAGGTACAAGTCAGTATCTGCCTATGAGTTTTGACTTCATTCACTGGAATTTCACACATTTTTGTTAATTAAATATCTGTGCACTTGTATTATTCATGTTGTGGGGAAATCATTGTCATCACTTTAAATTGCTGAATTGGTTTAAGGCTATTGTTCGGATTATGGTAAGTCCTCAGGAAATGAATGTAAATCAGTGTAAAACTCCTGAAGTGTGTGTGTTACCTTGCCTCCTCCAGGTGTGTGTTTCAGGTTCTCCGTGGATCCGACCTTTGATTTCACATTACTGAGGTCTGGCATGGGGTGGGAAGGGAGGGGGGGTGTCCGTCCACGAGCAGAGCCAGGAGACCGGGGAGGTGTCCGGATCACTGCCACCTGCAAGACCAGTTTAACCAGTAACACCATAAATAATATTCAGTACATCATGTACAGACTCCTCAACCCCAGTAAAAATGACCAGAACAGTTTAATCTGTAAAAACTTGCCGAAGTTTGAACCGCCACCTTATTGTGGTGGAGGGGTTTGAGTACCCGAGTGATCCTAGGAGCTATGTTGTCAGGGGCTATATGCCCGGTAGGGTCTCCCAAGGCAAACAGGTCCAGGGTGATGGGTCTGACAAAAAGCCCTTTATGAATAGATTTAAATCAAGGACCGTGACGTCGCCCGGCATGGCGCATCCGGGGCCCCACCCTGGAGCCAGGCGCGGCGTTGGGGCTCGAATGCGAGCACCTGGTGGCTGGGCCTCCCTTTACGAGGCCCAGCCGGGCTCAGCCCGAACAAGTGATGTGGGGACGTTCTCCCGTGCAGGAGGATCTGTAAGGGGCTGGTGCACAGTGGATCGGGCAGCAGTTGAAGGCAGGGGGCCCGGCGGAC